GTTTTGCTCTTGTTACCCAGGCTGGATGCAATGGCGCGATCTCGGCTCACCGCGACCTCCGCCCTCTGGGTTCAGGCAATTCTCCTGCCTCAACCTCCTGAGTAACTGGGATTACAGGCACGCACCACCATACCCAGCTAATGTTTTTTGTATTTTTAGTAGAGACGGGGTTTCACCATGTTGACCAGGATGGCCTCGATCTCTTGACCTCGTGATCCACCCACCTCGGCCTCCCAAAGTGCTGGGATTACAGGCTTGAGCCACCGTGCCCGGCCTACTCAGCTAATTTATTCTATTTTTAGTAGAGACGGGGTTTCACTGTGTTGGCCAGGCTGGTCTCGAACTCCTTGCCTCAAGTGATCCACCCACCTTGCCCTTGCAAAGTGCTAGGATTATAGACGTGAGCCACCGCACTTGGATATCAGTTGACTTCTGGTAAGGGTGTCAAGATGATTCAATGGGGACAGGATAATCTTCAACAAATGGTGTTGGGAAAACTGCATATCTAAATACAAAAGAATGAAATTGGACCATTATCTTACACCAAATACAAGAATTAGTTCAAAGTGGATCAGTGACCTAAATTCAAGAGCTAAACCTAGAAAACACCAAAAACACAGGCAGTAAAAGAAAAAATAAATTGGACATCATCAAACTTAAAACTTTTGTGTATTAAAGGATACTGTTAAGACAGTTAAAAGATAATCTACACAATGGGAGAAAATATTTGCAGATCATATATCTGATAAGGGCCTAATATCCAGAATGTTGAAAGCCCCTAAAATTCAGCAAAAGTACAAACAACCCAATTTAAAAATAGGCAAAGTACTTGAATAGACATTTTTCTAATGATACACAAATGAGTAATAATAACTGAAAAGGGCCAGGTGCAGTGGCTCACGCCTGTATTCCCAGCACTTTGGGAGGCCGAGATGGGTGGATCACCTGAGGTCAGGAATTTGAGACCAGCCTAGCCAGCATGGTGAAACCCCATCTCTACCCAAAAAAAATACAAAAAATTATTTGGGTGTGGTTGTGGGCGCCTGTAATCTCAGCTACTTAGGAGGCTGAGGCAGGAGAATCTCTTGAACCCAGGACTCGGAGGTTCCAGTGAGCTGAGATTGTGCCATTGCACTCCAACCTGGGTACCAAGAGTGAAACTCTGTCTCAAAAAAAAAAACATGAAAAATACTCTAAACATCATTAATAATCAGAGAAATGCAAATCCAAACCACAGTATGATACCACTTCACATCTAGTTGGATAGCTAATATTTAAAAAAGCAGAAAACAAGAATTGGGGAAGATGTGGAGAAATTGGGACTCTAATGTATTTCTGGTGGGAATGTAAAATGGTAAAACAGTGCAGCCTCTTTGGGAAACAATTTGGCAGTTCTCAAAAGGTTAAACAGAATTTAACATAACCGTCCAGCAATTCCATTTCTAGGTATATACCCAAAAAAATTTAAAATAGGTATTCAAACAGATATTTGTATACCAGTATTCACAGTAGCATTATTCACAGTAGCCAAGAGTTAAATGTATTCTTTTACTCTTTTTGATGCTATTGTAAACAAATGTTTTCTTAATTTTCTTTTTAGAGTTGTTCATTGATAGTATATAGAAATACAACTGATTTTGATGAAAAACTCAAATGTTCATCAGCAGATGGATAAGCAAAATGTGGAATATACAATAGAATATTATTCAGCCTTAGAAAAGAATTAAATTTGATACGTGCTATACCATGGATAAACCTTGAAAACATTATACTATGTAAAATAAGCCACACAAACAAGGACAAGTATTGTAGGATTCCATTATATGAGGTATCTACCGTAGGCAAAGTTATAGAGACAGAAATGGAATAGAAGTTGCTAGGGGCTAGGGGGAGACATGGGAATGGAGAGTTGTTATTTAATCGGTAAAGGTTCTATTTGGGATGATGAAAACATTCTAGAAATAGATAGAGGTGATAGTTACACAACATTGTGAACGTGCTTAATGCCACTCAATTGTACACTTAAAATTGTACATTTGTAAAAATGGTTAAAAAGGTCAAATTAATGTTATTTATATTTTAACACAAAAATTTCTTACTAAAAATTCTGATTTTCAGTGAGTAAAGATTTTAAAAATAGGATGATAACTTTAAGTAAAATTATTGAATAGATTATTTCCTTTGTTTTACCTTTAAAAGCTAAGCATTTTTATTTATTAGTTTTAAATTTTCAGTCATAGCAGCTATAGCAGATGAGCCTTTTAAAATAGTTGTCAATTGGTATATCAAAAATCTGAAGACCTTTTATCTTAGAGTCTTTTTTTTTTTTTTTGAGACGGAGTTTCACTCATGCTACCCAGGCTGGAGTGCAATGGCACGATCTCGGCTCACTGCAACCTCCGCCTCCTGGGTTCAGGCAATTCT